CACAGTGAAAGGAATTCCTAGGTAGAAAGCACAGTATGGCATCTTTTCTGCAAATAATCTAGCCAATCAGACACCGCCTCCTTTCCAGTGGCCTTCTCCAGGAGGGAGCCATCCTGTTTACTGCTGTCTCAACTTTCACTGGACTGTGTTACTGAAAAGTTTCCTCCAATTTCCATACCATTTGCACAAGGAAATGCAGCTACTATTTCTTTCTTTCTTTCTTTTTTTTTTTTTTTTTGAGATGGAGTCTCACTCTGTCACCCAGGCTGGAGTGCAATGGCATGATTGCAGCTCACTGTAACTGCAGCCTCCCGGGTCCAGATTCTCCTGTCTCAGCCTCATGAGTACCTGGGACAATAGGTGCATGCCACCACGCCCAGCCAATTTTTGTGCTTTTAGTGGAGATGGGGTTTCACCATGTTAGACAGGCTGGTCTCTAACTCCTGGCCTCAAGTGATCTACCTGCTTTGGCCTCCCAAAGTGCTGGGATTACAAGTGTCAGCCACTGCACCTGGCCCTTTCTCTTTTCTTTTGAATCCTTTCCTTTCACCTAAAGAAGTGGCTTTAGAGTGAGAACAGCACTTACCTTGCCAGGTCTATAATTTGTGCTTAAGCATTCTGAGGTGGGGTTTTCCCCAAAAACATACGCTCTCTCCTACTTCTCTTTGAACAAAATTCCAGTTGTGCCAATCATTAAAGCCTCGTTTTAATATGTGTGTATATGTGAATATATGTATGATTAAATGTTCTTGCTAGTCACTGCCTCAGGTTCAGCTTTCTCATGGAATCTCTTTCTAAAAGATTTCATATTCTGAATAACTCCTTGGTCCATACATTGACTGTAGGAGTTTACATTGCGAGCAAGAAGAAAAAAAAATCACTAACTCACTATCTGATTCTTCAGGGTGGGTGGTATTATTATTTACTCCTCAAGCTTTACTGAGGAACGATCTTTTCACGAGGTTATAGTACTGTACCTGTTTAACAACATTTTCTCGTGTCACCCTTTTCTTGTGCATAACCACCAAGTTTCTCTTTTGAATGGGGCAAACATTCCCACAACCTTCTGCTCTTCACCTGAGGCTGAAGAACTGTAACCAATACCCACATGCCAGAGCCTCTGGGATCGTCTTAGTTCTGGAGTGGTGTGTGTGCAAACATTATGTACACATTATTCCACTTTGTGTGCACGAGCCTGAGAATGAGGGCCTCCTAAGTTTTGTGCCCTGGCCACGTCACTTGCCTCAACCTAGTCCTGGCCCAGGTACAAGGGGCTATTTACCTTTAGAATGGCCACTGCTGTCTGTCCTCATCACCATTTATTTCTCTTTCTTTTCTTTTTTTTTCTTCCTTTCTTTCTTCTTCCTTTCCTTTTCCTTTTCCTCCCTCCCTCCCTCCCTCCTTCCTTCCTTCCTTCCTTCCTCTCTCTCTCTCTGTCTCTGTCTGTCTCTTTCTTTTTTTTCTTGAGAGAGTTTCGCTCTTGTTACCCAGGCTGGAGTGCAGTAGCACAATCTCGGCTCACTGCAACCTCCACCTCCTGGGTTCAAGTGATTCTCCTGCCTCAGCCTCCCAAGTAGCTGGGATTACAGGTATGTGCCACCATGCCCAGCTAATTTTTGTATTTTTAGTAGAGACGGGGTTTCACCACGTTGGCCAGGCTAGTCTCAAACTCCTGACCTCAGGTGCTCCGCCTGCCTCGGCCTCCCAAAGTGCTAGGATTACTGCGCCTGGCCGTCACTACCATTTCTACTTGACCCTGGTCACACCTTCACTGTTCTCTCTTTAATTTATTCATTTCTTTCTTTTTTTTTTTTTTTGACTACAAGTAAAAAACTAAAAACTGGCTTCTCATAAACACTGCCAACTAAGCAGGACACAGCTTTCCTTCCACAAGTGATGCTCATTATTCAGGCAGGTGCTTTGGCTCCTCTTAACTGTGTTTATCATTCCCGGGCACAGAGAAGAGGCTCCTCCATGGATGGGCCCTGCTGTGCTCCTGCCATCCTGGAAGGGGGAGGTTCTGAGGTCTGAATGCTAGACAGCGGGCTGGCTGAAGGGAACAGCAACAGCAGCTCTTCCTGGCCTCTCCCCCTACTCAGCATCAACAAGTCACCAGCAGATGCTACTTTATTACCAAGCCACGAGTGCACTCTGTTTTGTTTTTGTTTTTGTTTGCACTATATATTAGAGTTTTTATGGCAATTTTTCCAAAAGGCCAGAGTAGTTTTTAAATTCCGGTATTATAATTTTTTTGGTCTCTTCCAATGTAAATAATCTGGTTTTTAGTCAAAACAGTGTGATGAAGAGTAAAATGTCCCTGAATGAAGACCACCATGTGGCCCCTCTGCTGTCCTTATGCCACGGCAGTCTGCGATCTCCAATCATAAGCCAACAGCATGATGCCCGGGGCTGCAGTGCTTAGAGCACACGGGCTAGAAGAAGCTCTCAGCTTTGATTTAGTGCTCTCTAAACTAACCAACCTTCTTTCGAGCTGCTTTTCGTAAGAAAGCTCAGTCCAGAGCATCAGCCACAGTTGCTCCTTCTGGCCCACATTGTTCACTAGGAAAAGAAAACCTATTTAGAGCCAAAGAACACACAGGTGAAGCAGAAGCAGAAACACCAATTTGCTTTTGGCAGGAAACATCACTGGAGAGTCAAGAAATACTAAATTATGTTGAGGCACCTGAAGACAAAGGACAACTGCAGCCTTAACAGACAGAGGGCCCTGCACTCAGGAAAGCAGTCTGTGCTTCCTCAGTCCCCACCCCTCGTTGTACAGAGTCAGCCAGACTGCCTGGACTTACTGAGGACCTCCTAGGTGCACAGCTCTGCTCCTCGTGCAGTGGAGAACCTAAGCACAGACAGAGGCAGTCCCCACTGATGTTTCTATCTGCTCAAATTTTAAAGTGCATGTGAGCCTTTAACTCAACATTCCTGCTGTGCAACAGCACTGCTGGGGGCAGCTCTAAGGGCTCAGGGACACAGGGCGGCTGCCCACATGCTTTTCCTGCCCAGCGGCTCCTCTCAGCCACCTGGCTGCGTGGCTCCACGTACAGACTCTAAACAGTTGTATATACGGTTGAAACTGGGAGGCTTGAGTTGAATATGAATCTAAAGATTTGCTCTGTTGGTAGCAAGCCAGTCCTCGCTGTTAATCCACCCTCACTTTATTAGTTACACACTTTATCTTGAAAAACAATGACAAAGAACAGCGCCTGGAACGTGTTAAATGTTAAGTGCATTATAAATATTAACTCATTTAATTCTCATAACAAGCCTATATTATCTTAATTTGAAGGTGAGGACACTAAGGCACAGAGAGATTAGGTGATCTGCTCAAGGTCACAGCTAACGTGATAGAGTTAGGGCTCAAACTCTTGCAGTCTAGCTCTAGTCTATGCCATTAACTGCTGAACAAAGTATTTTAAAAAAAGGGGCCTGAGGCATTTAGGTGAGTATATAACATGCCTTCCTAAGGGCAGCCACACTCATGATAACTAAGTCTCTAATGTAGAAGTTAAAAGAACAACAACAACAAGGCAACCAGGAACTGCAGCACTGCAGATATCACATCTCCCATCTTTGGCTACTTGTGTGTGTCTCAGAAGCTTTCTGCAATGGAACGCCCACCAGTCAGCCCCAAATACCTCTCCCAAGGCAGGCAGATCTGTGTGGACCACCAACAAAGGAGTCACCAGGCACTTGTGGCCATTTAAACTTAAATCGCAATTAAATAAAATTTCAATTTCTCAGTGGCAATGGTCATATTAATAGGTGCTCAACAGCCACATGGGACCAGTGGCTACTATACTGGACAGTAATGAGAGACCATTTCCAACATTACAGAAACTGGTACTAGCCAGCACTGAGTAGACAAAGTAGTGTGATTTCTTCTTATGCTTTAGTCTGAATACATTAGTGATAATAATTTCATCTTTCCTTCCATGAATCTGCAAAATTCAAGTTACATTTTGTTTCTTCATAAAGCAAGTTTGTACTCCAAAGGTCGGTTCTAAGGGGTAGAGTGGGTTATTTACAAGCAAGTCAAGTAAAGCCTTTGTCCTCTAGTAGCTGGTACCCAGGATATTAATATGTCGTCTTCTATCATCATGATCAAAGGTTCAAAACCAGTGAGGAAAAAGGAATTCATTAAAAAGTTCAGCAGACAGCAAAATCAATTTTGTTTACAGATTTCAGCTTCATGTTGGACATTAAGCATGAGACACACAATCAACTGGTCACATGGAAGCTTGACAAGAGAGGATGGCTAAGTCCACACAAACTGATACCCCATCACAGAAACAACTAGGACGCATGTACTACTACAGAAAGTGGGTCAGACACTTCAAGGCTTTAAAAAAAAGCACCCACACAAAAATTGTTCAAATACAATGGAAGCCATGTGGTCCAGGGACAGTGGTGCCAAACTTCCCACTGCTAGCAAATATTTTCTTACAACAATTTCTAGCATCCTTAACTTCCACTAGCAGTATCCCTAAATAAACAGTACCACTGTTCCATTTCATGTGGGTTCTCATGAAGCAGAAAAGCCATAACTAAAACGTGAACAACTTAGCAATAAAGCACAAATTCTAGGATATTTTCACAGCTAAGGAATCTAAAATCCAAAATTCTCCCTCTAACTCCTCAACTTGAAGTCCATGGAAGCCAGGTAAGATTATCCTTATGACCAACAGGAATTGCCTTGTTCTAACACAGATCTTTGTTTATTTAAAGAAATTCTCCTCTCTGTCCTTCTCCCCATTCCTTCCCTCACTCTTACTGTCTACCCCTATTACATTTAGAAACACAATTGAATTTTTATGAAATCTTGTGATTCAAAGTTATTTTTTTATTTCAGAAGAATGAGGCATCGCTTACCAAGCAGTGGTTATAGGAATGATTAATATCTAGTCATCTTAAGTTGCAAAAACACATTAAGCTCCTCAGAAGATGCAAATTTTTTTAAAATGCAATAAAGTAATAATTATATTACATACTTGTGACTTCTTGTAAGAAATCCAAACATGGTCGACTACTTCCAGAAATACTTATTGAAACAGCCAATGGGGTCTGTCCTTCATAGTTTCGTGTGTTCGTGTCTGCTCCATAATTATATAACATCCGTGCACAGAGCACATCATCCCTAAGGGCAGATAAGTGTAAAGGAGTCTGTCCGTCTTCTAAGCGACCCAAGTTTGTGTCTGCCCCTCTCTGAAGGAACATTCGGCAATAAGAGTGATTGCTTTTGATCACGGCGTATCGCAACAGGAAACCATTCTGAATGTCGATGTTGGCATTGTGGTCCAGGAGGATTTTCACACAGCTTGACCTCTCTCGGATAATGGCGAGCTGAAGCGGTGTGGTACCTTTATCACTGAGTGGGTCAACCTCAGCCTTGAACTCCAGGAGAAGCCGGACAAATGAGTCCCTGCCGTAGTGGGCAGCCACATGGAGGGGAGTCCAGCCGTCATTGCTTTTTGCATTAATGATGTCGCTCCTGTATTCAGATTCTAACATCAAGCGTGCAATACGGGCCCGGCCATGCATGGCTGCATAATGAAGAGCTGTGAAGCCTCCGATTAAGTCTTTAACTGTGGGATCAGCTGGAGTTAAAACCAAAATGAAAGTATTAGCAGACTCTAAGACAAAACAACAAACATTACCATGGCACAGCAAACTGTGGCCAATTCTCATATAAAATGTGAAGCAACCAACCACTGTAATGAATATCAAGTACTTTTTTCCTCAGTTTAATTCAAGTCTAGTTTTAATGGAAAATAAATTTTGTAGAATGTTATCACGTCTGGGTTAATGAAAGGAGAAAGACAAAGTGTTTAAAATGATACACACAAAAAACACGGAGTACAGATCACCACATCCCCTGTCTTTGCTAATTTAACCAACTGCCTTTGACTACTCAACTCCTTCATCTCTGCACTGTTTCACGTTGCTCTTCTGTTTTGAACTTTTTGTTTTATTTTCTCTTGTGCTTCTTCTTGGTCTTAAAGAGAAGCATGTGTAGCAACATCTGCTGCTCTAAATTACGGATGTACTATGGTCTGGCACACTGTGTTGTTTTAGGGTATATTAAGTAATAAGAAAAAAGTTTTTCTGTGGTCTATAAAAATTCCAAAGCATTTCAGATATGTGTCAAGTAATCTTGATAAATTGTTTTTTCAAAAGATAGAAGTCTATTCTGAATTCCTAGTTTTATATGAACTTTAGCGTTTATAAGAATTAAGCAATGCATTATGTGAATAACCTCAGCATTGTGTAAATATTATTTTCTAAAACAGTTCCAAAAACCTCTCCTAATTGATCTCTGCAGAAGAAAAAACAACTATAATAATTTATCTGCTATGTGACTCAAGTCACAGACTTTTGTCACTGGCCTCAGATATTTCATTAAGCCAAAGGTTGGTTCTTGATGGTGTTCACCCCATGGCATCTCTGGCTGGGGGCAGAAGAGGGACAAGGACTGGTTATGCAGGGCACCTCCTGGAAGCCAGCAATTCCGTGCAAAAGACAAATTGATCAGACTTAACTATCCAGGATGAAAATGCTCTCTTCTTGTAAAAGTCACCCTTAATTTCTGGCTTGTTAACAAAAGAAAAAAAAATCATTAATGTTTCTCACACACACACACACATACATACACACACACAACACACACAGCCTCCACAGGTGAGTAAAAACTCATGTATTATTTAATAAATGTTACTTAGGTCTAGAACATATTATGATAAATGGTTCTCTTAGAAAAATCTACGAGGCAGAAAACTGTATGTAAAATAACACTGTGGAGAGTACTTCGGTGAAGCAGTTGCTAACAAAACCTATACCAAATAAGATTTTTTTAGGTAAGCCATATCATGTAGATTTCTAAAAATATTTATTGTAAAGTGACAGTACACAATGGTAGTATTAGTTGTATCTATTTAGAGGAAATAAGAGCATCATATCTACCTTGGTCTTAACTGAAAGAAAAATATACAGTACCTGTTTACTATATGACTTAAATAAATAGGGCAAGAACATTTTAACACAGCATTTTGCTGCCATCTGCTGGTAAGGCATGAGCATGAGCTACTAATGTTTATGTTGGACAGATACTGCTGAGCCCTCAAGTCACTCAAGCCTGTTTCAGGTGCATCGCTCACCAAAAGTTTGAAATCAGGCGTGAAATCTACAAGATGCCCTCCCATTCAAATGAAACAAAAAGTCTTGCCAAAGGTCATTTCTAATCTATACCTGGCCAGTCAATTGCTTGCAGACATTCCCTCTTAATCTGCAAGTGAAATTTAAGAATACCTTCTTTCACTTCTCCCACCTTTCAGCCACCAGCGGTGCTTTTAAAGGAGCCAGCCAACATCCTTATTTGCATCCTATACTTGTTCTATTTGACGGTAAAATTAAAATTATGTTACAAAACACTGCACTTGCATCTTTGGTTTCCATTTCAGGTCTCTTTTAGGTTCTATGTACGTTTTGATGCTACACTGAGCTAAGGAAAAACAGAGATTAACACACACAACAATGACCTGCTTAGTCTCTGTTAAAACCAAATGGGAGATTAGATGGCAAATGAAAATGCAAACAAAATGTAATTTAAAGATTATTAGCCCATGAAATAAGGTAAGAAAAATATGTCATTTGTAATAGCAACAAAAACTACAAAACACCTAGACAGAAATTCAGTAAGAAATGTATAAGACATGTGAAAAGAAAACATTAATTCAACTCATGTCATCTGTATTCATTCAAATGTCCCTTTATCAAAAAAAGAAAAGCCTCCCCTAAACATTTCATCTAAAACAGCAACCCCACCAAACTAATTACTTTGTCCCCTTATCGAACATTTTCTCCCCAGGTAGAACTTATTTTAAATAAGCTGTAGCAAAATCTCAACGGGTTCATTTAAATTTACTGGGGAAAAAAATGTAATGTATATAAACAGAAGCAAAGAAACATTCCCTATGAATATGAGGGGATTTTTTTTTTTTCTAACAGCTTTATTGAGGTAAAATGCATTCACTTTAAGTGTACAGACTGATTAGCTCTGATAATTGTATACAGGTATATAACCCACCACCCTATTTAAAATATAGAACATTCCATCATCTCAAAAAGTTCCTTCATCTCTCTTTAGCCCTTCCCAGACTCTGGGTCCCATGCAAACCACTGGTCAACAAAAAGTTTTCTCTTTTCTGGAAATTCATATTAATAGAATCATATGTAGACTTTTGTGTCTGACTTACTTCACTTTGCATTATGTTTCCGAAATATTTCCACGTTGTATTAACAGTTCATTCTTTTGTATTGCTGGATAGTACCGTATACTATAGATATATAGTTTTTCTAATCCATTTATGAGAAGATGGACATTTGAGTTATTGCCAATTTGAGGCTATTTGAATAATGCTATCATGAATTAATACATGAGAGAGAAGGAGAGAGGGACAGTGTGTGTTTTCATTTCACTTGGGTTTAATATCTACAAGAGACTTGCTGGGTCATATGTTAAATGCACATTAAACTTTTATAAGTGGCTTTTTAAATGGCTATACCATTTTACATTCTCACCAGCAACGGATGAGTTCAAATTGTTCTACATCTTGGTATCATTAGTAATTTTAATTTCACTCATTCTAGACAGGTAAAATCGTGACTTTTCCATTTCCCAAATAACTAGCTATACTGAACTTATTCATATACTTTGTTTTGTGAATTGTGTGTTCACATCCTTTATCCACTTCTATTGGTTGTCTCCTCATTAATGAGTTGTACAAATTCTATGTATATTCTGGATACAAGCCTTTTGTCAGATGTGTTTTGTAAATATTTTCTCCTAGTTTGTTGCTTGCCTTTTCATTTTCTGTATTATGTTTTGAAGAGCAAGACTCTTGATTTTGATGAAGCCCATTGTTTATTTTACAGTTTGTGGTTTTGTATCTTATTTTAAAAATCTTTGCCCAATGCAATGTCACAAAGATTTTCTTTTTTCTTCTAGGAATTTTGCAGTTTTAACTCTCACATTTAGATCAATGGCCCATAATTAATTTTTGTGTGTGGTATACCGTAAGTTCGAGGTTGAGTACTTTCCACAAAGATACCTACTTGTTCTAGCACAATTTGTTAAAACGACTCTTTTCTTAATGATTTACCCTAGTGTCACTGCTGAAAATCAATTTACCATAAAAGTGCAGGTCTATTTCTGAACTGTTTTGTTCCATTGGTCTAAAAGTCTCTCCATACACCAAACCTACACTGTCTTGACTACTGTAGCTTACAGTAAGTTTTAATAGCAGGTAGCTTAAGTTCTCTAGCCTTCTTTAAAATTATTAATATTCGGGATAACACATTTTAGAATCAGCTTGTCAATTCTTCAAACAAGTCTGCTGGAATTTTGATTAGAACTCCACTGACTCTAAGGACGGCAACCTCTCTAAAATGATCTAAACAATATTGATTCTTCCAAACCATAAACATGGGATAATTCTCTATTTAGGTCTTAATTCTCTTCAGCAATGTTTTATAGCTTATATACATCATGCATACATTTTGTTAAATTCTTAAATATTTTAAACTTTGTTGCTATTATAATGAGCTAAAATTCCATTTTCCAAATGATGACTATTGATAGAAATAAAGCTGATTTTTGTACACTGACTTGTGTATTCTATAATCTACCCAAAATCACTTTTAGTTCTAGTACACATTTGTAGGTTTCTTTTTTTTTTTTTTTTGAGACAGAGTCTTGCTCTGCCACCCAGGCTGGAGTGCAGTGGCACGATCTCGGCTCACTGCAAGCTCCACCTCCCAGGTTCACACCATTCTCCTGCCTCAGCCTCTCCAGTAGCTGGGGCTCCAGGCGCCTGCCACTACACCCGGTTTTTTTTTTTTTTGTCGTTGTTGTTTTTTTTTTTTGTAGTTTTTGTAGTTTATGGGGTTTCACCATTTGGCCAGGCTGGTCTCGAACTCCTGACCTAGGTGATCTGCCTGCCTCGGCCTCCCTTGTTTGAATGGTATATGTTAAGAATTCTAATGTAAATTTTTTCATTGTTTCTCTCGGGGTAAGTTTTTCTTTTTGTCGTTGTTGTTTTTTTTTTGTAGTTTTTGTAGTTTTTGTAGAGACAGGGTTTCACCGTGTTAGCCAGGATGGTCTCGATCTCCTGACATCTCGATCCGCCCGCCTCGGCCTCCCAAAGTGCTGTGATTACAGACGTGAGCTACCGTGCCTGGCCTGTAGTTTTCTTGCCAGTGTCTACATGCACAATTATTTTCTCTGCAAATAAAGACAGTTTGACTTCTTTCTTTCCAATTCATGACCCTTGATTACTGCTCTGCTCTCATTCCACTGGTTAGAACCTACAGTAGAGTGCTGAATAAAGTGGCAAAAGCAGAGACCCTTCCCTTAGTTCCTGATCTTAAAAGGAAAGAAATCAGTAGTTCACCACCTGGGAAGCTGTAGCTTTTCATTGCTTTGGAAATCACCTTCCGCTTCTGGTTTCCTGTCTTTCTCATGAAGGTATTTAAGACTGTCCCATTTTCTGAATCTACTGAAATGACTGTTTGGTATTTATGTTTTACTCTAATGTGACAA